CTAGTAGATATATAAGAAAGTATTGTAGAAGCCAGTGGCCATGTAGCCATTGCTAACAAGGAGCCACTAGCCAAAACATTCCTTCAAAGCAAAGTCCCATACAGTAGGTAGGTGCACACTGGCTAGGTAACAATACATCTTTCCCACACAGCAGCAGCAGTCTCTGTCCACAGACATTATCTGAGCAGCCACGTACTGCCTCTAGACCCACAGCCTCTCATAGTAGCTGCATCTCTCCTGAGCTCACTCTGCAGCCTTAGTAACATACTTTAATACTACTTACACAAAAAAGGCTTCTAGCCAAATAGTGACATCAATCATTTGGGTTATAGAAGGGCATGTATGTGCCATGTACTGTGAGATTGCTGTGTCCTTGCTGTGCACTTGCATAGTCCTTGGACACCCTGATTAAGATTCCCATGCTTAGAGAGTGGCCTTAGCCATCTGGCATACTCTAGAGAGGGCTTTCACACTCTAATTGGCCTGGGCCATCCAGCGTACTCTGGCATGGTTCCCACACCCCCCAAACAACCGGATGGGGCCAGGCAAACCTTCAGATATGAGGTAGGCAGACAGCCTTTCCAAATACATTTCCACCTCCCCTCTGCCATAACACAGGTATCACCCCTACACACATACCTCACACATCTACTTGGGGTCTTCAGTAGGATGGTCATGTCCACAGTGCACTCATCAATACTCACTCATGTGCATGTTGTACTCACACACACACACACACACACACACACACACACAGAAACTTGGACATACAGAGATAAAATCATCCACATGTGAACACCCAGCCTCTGCACAGACTCCGATTCCTCCTCCCAGAAGTCACAGTGCTGAGCATGGAGATTGGAAATCTCCGTCTACTTCTGAACTGCTTTTAAGTCTCCTCAGCCCATTAGCTTCAGCCTTCTGATCCATCAGAGGGGCACAGTGACTGTGACAGAGCTAGCTGTTGTGGATGGATAAGAGCCAACTGTACATAAGCTTTGAACCTTACAGGGCTAAGGTTACAGGCTCTGTCAGGGAGGCAGTGGACTCCTCCCCCACTTTTTAAGCTGCTTAATCTAATGAAGAATGAAATTCAATCCTTATGTCATACACAAAATGAAATTCAAAATGGGTTAAAAATTTAAATGTAATGTGAAACCATAGAACTACTAGAAATGGGAAAAGCTTCCTAACATTGGTCTTGGCAGTGATTTTTTTTGGATATGATACCAAAAGCACAAGCAACAAAAACAAAAGTAGTCAAACTTTGGTGCAGCAAAGAAAACAATCAACAGAATGAAAAGGCAACCTACAGAATGAGCGAATATATTTGCAAACTGTATATCTGATAAAGGATTATATCTAAAAAAAATAAGTAACTCAATAGCAAAAACAAAAAAACAAAAAAACAATTTAAAAATGGGCCAAAAACCTAAATAGACATTTTCCAAAAGAAGATATACAAATGGCCAATAGGCACATAGAAAGCTGCTCAACATCACTAGTCATCAGGGAAATGCAAATCAAAACCACAATGAGATATCACCTCACACCTGTTACAATGACTATTATCAAAAAGAAAAAGAGAAGTATTGGTGAGGATGTGGAGAAAAGGGAAACCCTGTTGGTGGGAATGCATATTAGTGCAGCCACTATGGAAAACACTATGGAGGTTCTTAAAAAATTAAAAACAGAACTGTTACAGGCACCTTTCACAGAAAGGTGTTATCAGACAGCCCCCTGAGTCAGAGGGAGAGTGCTATCTCCACCTAGATTCTTGTTATGCTCATGTAAATGAATTCAAATGAATGACTCCAGATGATTGCATTGTGATAAAGCCAATTTATTAAAACATTAAAGCATGCAAATTTATTACGAAGCTAGGCAAGTGAATCTATACATCTGGCTTATGAAGTGCAAATGGGCTCTCAGCTAATCTAGAGAGCAAGTGAGGTGGAGGGTTTCTGCCTTACATACTTTTCTGTCTATAAATTTTAAAATTCCTCTGCTAGATATCCTGGTACAGGTTGACTCTAAAGGTCTCTCATTCATTTACGTTGTTATGGCTTTCTCTGAATTTATGAGAAGCACCTAGCAATTAAATCCCAAGACTGCTGACTTTTCTATTTAAACAGTGGGATGAGATAAGACTGCACTTTTCCTCCCCCTTTTTCCCTCCTCTCTGCTGTTAGTTTTAGGGTGATTTAAACCATGTATACTCAGGTTGTGGAGAAGAGGCATCAAAACTCCCTTTCTCTTTCCCTTTCCTTCCCCCTCCTTTCCTGCATTCTTTGCAGAGACATTAACCATTTGCTTAGATAAGGGCTTGCTATTTACAAGCTGGCTGCAGGCTGCCAAACTGGCCTTGTTTAATTTTCTTGTCTCAGTTTCCCTATTCCTCTTGCCTTGGAATTTTTCTAGCTTTTCCCTATCCTATAACAGGATTACCATATATGGCAGCAATCCCATTTCTGGATATATATCCAAAAAAATGAAATCAGAATGTCTAAGAGATATCAGCACCTCTATGATCACTGCAGCATTATTCACAATAGCCAAGATACAGAAACAACATAATATCTTTTGATAGATAAATGGATAAAGAAAACCTGATATAAAAAAAAAAGTATTAAAAAAAGATAAAAAAGGAAATCCTGTTCTTTGTTACAGCATGGATGGAGCTGGAAGATATTATGCTAAGCAAAATATGCCAGACACATAAAGACAAATACCATATGTTCTTACATGTGGAATCTAAAAGTCAAACTCAGAAACAGAGAGTAATGCTGGTTGCCAGAGACTTGAGGAGGGAGGAAATAGGGAGATGTTGGTTATAGGATGAAAAGTTACAATTATGTGGAATGAATAAATTCTGGGGATGTAATGTACAATATGATGACTATAGTTAATAATACTGTTGATAAGGGTTAACTAGCTAGCTTAATATAGGAAGGGAGAGGGTTCAGAGAGGGTTCTCAACCTTGGCTGCACATTAGAATCACCTGGGAATCTTTTTAAAATCCTGATTTCTGGGCTTCATCCTCCGGAAATTCTGTTTCTTTGTTATGGGGTGAGGCCACAACATTCATAACAAAGAAACAGAATT